AGCAGGTATGATGGTGAAACCACTCCAATGGTGTCCCGACTGGAAGAGTTCTATGCTGTTGTTAGTGGGCTGAAAGGAAAATCTGGGTTTTCCAAGCCATGGTGCTTTAAATAATTGGTACCATGAGAACCACTGGAGTAAATTATCTTCTATCAGACAGGAAAAAAAAGTTGTAGCATGAAGTGTTTATTTCACGTCGTATTTCCTGGGCTGTTGGAAAAATCGCAGCGTCAGTTAATAAACGATATATTGTGCAGCCCTGAACCAGAGGAAACCATCACGGCCACTCAGCAGTTCATCCGAGTGCCATTTTTCCCACGTGACATAAACGCAACACGGATAAGGAGGAGGAGCCTGGGCGTAAAGGAGGGAGGGGCTGGCGGGTGACTGACAGGAGCCCGTCGTCACGGTTACGTCAGCTCGCTCCAACTATAGGCCACGAACAGCAGGACCAGGCAGAGGATGTGAACCAGGCTCGAGCCAATAAGGTCCCAGATCTGCCAGGCGGGAGGCGGGGTTTGGGTGGTGACCGAGACCAATGAGGGAGTCCCTGACGCCCCGGGGGAGGCGGGGCTCGGAGTCGGGACCGCCTCGTCCCGCTTCCTGTCCGCGCCGGTCGTATCCAAGGCAACCAGCGCCCGAACCGCAGCGCGAACCGGCTGCAGGCGGCACTGGATGATGTCGTAGGGCGAACAGAGGGAAGACTGGCGCCCCCATGAGGAAGGGAGGAAGAAATGAAGGAGGGAAGGGGGAAAGGAGACAAGGAGAGAGGAGGTGGGAATGAAAGAACAAGGGAGAGGAAAGGAAGTGAAGAAGGAAGGATAAAAAAAAAAAATGGAGGTGTAACGGAAGCAAGGAAGAAAAGGAAAAGAGGGGAGTCAATGGGAATTTAAAAAAAGAAAAAAATGAGGGTGAGGGAAAGAAAGCAAGAAGGAAGGAAGGAAATAAAGAAAGAACAAAGTGAAAAAGGGGATCCAAATGAAGTCAGGAAGGAAAAGGAAGAAAGAACAAGGTGAAAAGGAAGCAAGGAAGGAAGGAAGGACCAAAAGAAAAATGAGAGAATAACGGAGAGGGAAAGATAAAGATGAAGAAGAAAGAGATGAAAAACAAAAAGAAGAGTCGGTATGGATGAAGGAATGAGGAGGTGAAAAAGGAAGCAAAGAAGGAAGAAACAACAAGATAAAAAGGATGGAAGGAAGGAAAGACAAAAAGAAAGGAGGAAAAAAAAGAAATAGGGAAGAAAGGACAGCAGGAAAAGAAAAGAAAAGAAAGAAAGAGGTGAAAAATAGGCAATGAATTAAGAACAAAAGGAAAGAAGGGAGGAGGTGGGGATCAGAGGACAAATGAAGGTGAAGAGGGAAAGGAAAGGAGGAGGGAAAAGGATGCAAGGAAGGAAAGAAGACAGCAAAAAAAAAGGAGACAAAAAGGAAACAAAGAAGGTGAAAGACAAGAAAAAAACAGTGAGATGAGAAGGAAAGAAATGAGGACAAGAAAGATAGAATAAGAGAACGGAAAGGAAGCATAGGAGGAGAAGGGGGAGTGGAGGAAGGGGAGTAAGGAGAATATGATAGAGGGATGAAAGAAATCAAGACAAGAAGAAACAAGAACATGTGTAACGAGGATGAAGGTAAAAAATCATCAGCAAAAAAAAGGAAATATGACAAGATGACGAGAAAAAAAGAAGAAGTGATGAAGTTTAGGAAGCAAAACGTGAGAATGTGAGATCAGAAAAGAATCGATGGAGTGAAGTCGTGAAAGAAAACGACGAGGAAAAAAAGGACCAAAACCAAAAGTCCCAAAAGAACGAAACCCAAACGAATGAGAACGACAAGAAAACGGGGAAGAGGAGGAGGAAGACGTGGTGCCATCCAGCCGGAGGAAAGTAAAAAAGAGAAAGAAAAGGCAGGAGGTTAACCAATGGACACAGAGGTCAGAGGTCAGAGTGTAGAGGCGGTGGAGGAGGGGAGGCAGGCGGGAGTTACCATGGCAACGGGCGAGGATGCTTACAGAGAGGAACGAAAGAAAAACAAAAAAAAAAGTTCCTCCGATTCCTCCCAGTAAGCATGAACCCCGCGATGGTGGCGGTGAGGCGGCAGGCCAGCACGTTAGCACAGAAGCTGTTAGCGTGTTAGCTCGGGAGGGAGGGGGGGAGCGTTGCGGAAGCGTTGCAGAAGCGTTGTCAGTAAAGCGTTCAGGCTGCGGGTGGGCGGCTTAGTTAGCAAACGTCCACACAGAGGCTGGAGGCAGTCAGCAAAGCAGCGATGAGAGGCCGGAAGTCAAACAGAGAAAAAAAAACAGCAAGAAAGGAACAAAGTCTTCTAACGTTGTTGTTTTCGTACAAAGAAAAACAACGAAAAGTTACACAAAAAAACAAACAAATAAATATAACATTAAAAAAACAACAAAAATATAAACAAATACAACAACAAAAGAACATTTACCATCATTTATGCTGGTTTATTGGTGCGTGATGTGAACAAAACTATATTATTATTATTATTATTATTATTATTATTATTATTATTATTATTATTATTAAGGCTTCAACATGACTCACAAATTCCATGTTCACCAGCTAAACTTCCATTAGCGGAGGGCAGAGACGGCTACTTCAAATGCCACGAGGAAATAAAAACTTTTCCACTTTGAATTCACACTTGAGGTCAGTAAGCATCACAGAAGACTTTGTCA